GGGGCGGGGGGGGGGTCCTCTCTTCCCACCTCACTGTGTCCTGCCGCAGAAGGGTTGTGTGGCCCGTGCTCCACCCTGGCTGGCATGAGGGGAGATGCTGCTCACGGTGGAGGGCTTAGTCCTTTTTGAGAATCGGATTCTGCAGCAGTGAGTGCTGCAGGTTAGTCATCTGCCACTCAGGGGCAGCCCCCCTTAGCAGTCCCTCTGTTCCGAGTGGTTCAGCTACTGCCGTGAAGGCCTCCCTGCCGCCTCGCTCTGGACACGCGGCTGTGCTGACGGGTGTGCCGCTCTCTAACCCCGGCCAGGCAGTGAGAGGGCGGGTTACCAAAGGGCTTCCACGACCTGTGCTCCCCAGCTAACCTGAGCTCTGGTGTTCTAGGTCTATCAGCTGGACACCGGGCACTACCTGTGCAGAAACAAGTACTATGGCCGCGCGTTGTCCATCGAGGGGTTCCGCAGTGCCCTCGGCCAGTACCTCCACAATGGCCTGGAGCTGCGCAAGGACCTCTTTGAGCCCATCCTCGCCAAGCTGCGGAGCCTGAAGGCTGTGCTGGAGAGGCAGGCGTCCTACCGCTTCTACTCCAGCTCTCTCCTCATCATCTATGATGGGAAGGACAATAGGGCAGGCATGCTTGCGGAGCGCAGGGCAGAAATGCGCCTGAAGCGGGTGGACAGCGCTCTCCCGGAGACCCTGCAGGATGACACCAGCACAGAGCCCGGCCGCCCCGGCCTGCCCAAGATAGATGTGCGCATGATTGACTTTGCACATAGCACGTTCAAAGGGTTTCGGGATGACCCCACTGTGCACGATGGACCCGACATGGGCTATGTATTTGGGCTGGAAAGCCTCATTACCATCATGGAACAGCTACGTGAGGAGAACCAGTAGCCCTGGGCTGTGCCCATTCATTCCTACCCTGGCTGCGGGAGCAGGAAAAAGCAAACGACTTTGGTATTCACGGTTCGCTGGCTCCCTTCTTTGTAACTGTCCCTGGGGCTGGAAGAGCTGAGTGAGGACTACGAGGATCTCTGCCACACTGGAGATGGCGGCCCCTCTCTTATTGGGCATGGATCTCTACATTATGGGTGCTTTCAGGAGGGAGGCGCAAACCAGCCCTTCAGGGTGGAGATGCGGGTTCCCACTGCTCCCCAGAAGCCCCAGCAGAGCCTTTGGTTTGAGCCTCTTCTGCCCTATGGAAAGGGCATTGGGTCAGATGAGCCAGCGTCCATGGGGCTGACGGCTCTGCACTCATGCTGCTTCTAAGGTACCAGCTAGTGGTGCAGCCAGCTCTGCCCCGGGCTGAGAGTGAGCGAGACACTTATCTTCCCCAGTCTGGGCACTGTGGCGCAGCATCCACGACGGGCGGGAATAAACACTCGAACGAACCCATTGCACAGCTGAGGCAATGGGGGACCCGCCCTGCCCCATGGGCTGCTGTGGAGCCAGTGTGGGAGGCTGAGCTACCGCCCGTCGCCACTGGCAGAGAAAGCTGTGCAGGGCCAGGAGGGCGGGGCAAGTGTGAAACTGCCTCTACCTCTGCGCACTGGTCCAATGAGCGCGCAGCCCCTCGGCTGACAGCAGCGCTGACAGGGAAGTAACTTCCCCTCCCAGCTGTTTCACTGGGTGTATCGGGCTAGTCCCAGCCTGTGTTTGCGTGGAACAGGCACAAGAGCTGGGCTGGGTCCTGTGGCACAGTGCTGGGTCTGGTTTGAACCCTCTGGGACAGCCCCTCGCGCTCCCTGGCCGAGGGGTGGGAATTCAGGAGCCTAGTGGAGTCAGTGAGGGAGGAGTTGGAGCTGGTCCCAGGGCTCCAGGCCGTGCTCATCATGTTGTCTTAGTCCTGTGCTGGAGTGGGGGGCTGGCAGAAGTGGGTGAACCAGTGGCCTAGCCCCCAGCTGGAAGCTCTTCCCTCCCTGCCTGGGCTTGTGTGGAGCTGGGTATGGCGAGCTGGCTACAGCGTGGCTACGCTCTGGCCCTGCTCTCCACTCATGGCTCGGTGTGCGCTGTCAGAGGGGCCTGGGCCTATCTGCTGGGGGACAGATGGACAGGGTGCAGGGCTTGGGGCCTGTTACTGGGGGGAGGGAAGGGTGCTTGAGCGTGTACTAAAGCTTCGCACAGCCCCATCTCTGCTGAGCGTGGTTAAAGCCAAAGCCTGTGCAGACGGGGGCTGCACCCCTACCCGATGCAGTAAGGCCCCGGCCAGATGCCTCCTCCCTCCTGTGTGGGGCGTGGCTCTCGCTCCCCCTCTCCAAGCTCGCTGGGCAGAAATGCATTGGGGTCCTTGTGCAGTGTGACCCAGCAAGCCCTAGTCTAGTAGCCGGCCGCCTTCAGTGGCCCGGCTCTGGCGGTAGGGGAAGGAGAGGGGCTCCACATGTAGCTGCTTGCTCCTGTTGCCCCCGTTGTGTGGTGCTGAGGGAAGAGGGGTGATGGGGGAGGGGCGTTTCGCAGCTCTCCTGCCTTCTGCAGGATCCTGCACTGCAGTGCTATTGCCACCCTGGTGATGCTTGCCTGGTGGCCTTGGACCAGCACCTCCCGTCTTACCTCCTGGTTCCAGCTGGGCTGTGTGGGAGTGCCTGCCAGTACGTGAGTTGTATACATGCAACACGGTGCACTTCTGCTTGGGTCCTTGTGACTTCCCGCTCTGACAGGTCCCGGAGCTTGTAGATAGCCTTGAGCCAGAATCCGTTTGCTGGTTCATAAAGAACCAAAAGGCACCCAGGGTTTCGTTTTGCCAGTGCCGCATGCTACCTAGCATGAGCACAAAGCACAGGGCCCCTTCCCCTCGAGCTGAGTGTCGTGGCACGGGCAGGGCAGGAGATGAGGGCGAGTGCCCTGGGCTGCTGGAGACTTGAGTTGGTTACCTGGCCTAGAGCACAAATGGGGTGGCTGTTTTCCTGCTAATCCCACCCCCCAGACACTATCAGCATGCCCCTTGGCACCCTCTCCACAGCCGCCTCAATAGCTGCATGGCTGGTGGGATGAGCTGCCAGAGCATGCCCGATGAAGGGGAGGCAAGTTCACATCCAGCTCTCAGTCCAGGGAGAGTTAGCAGCCCAATGGGCATCCTGCAGCTGAGCAGAGGAGGTTACTGGAGAAAGGCTTCAGGTCGTCCTCATCTGCTCTTTGCAGTTCAGTGTCGAGTTGATTGTCTGGATAGGTGTGGGGCTGTTGCTCTCGAGGTGGGATCTGGGGACCCAGTAGCAGGCTGTGTGCTGGCTGCTCCCAAGGCAGGAAGGGACTCCAGGCAGGCCTGGCAGCGTGCCCTGCCTTGCAGAAAAGGGATGAAGTCGGCCCAGAAAGGGTGTTCTCCGCTCCCCCAGGCACGTGCCCTGCCTTGCAGAAAAGGGATGAAGTCGGCCCAGACAGGGTGTTCTCTGCTCCTCTGTCCAGGCAGGGGCTCTGTTGCTGTTGGGCAGAGATTGTTACTTTACTAGTTACTTAGGCAGGACCAAGCATGGCCAAAGTTAGAGCACTTGCTGTTAACACTGTAGCAAGTCTCCTCCCCCCTCTGGGCCCAGCAGTCTGCCAGAACACTGTAGCAAGTCTCCTCCCCCCTCTGGGCCCAGGAGTCCCTCCGGCAGTCTGCCATTTGGTTAGGCCAGTCCTCTCCTTAGCTATTCCTGCAGTTAGCAAAACCCTTGTCAGGCCACTCCCCTTGAAAGATGGACTCTGTTGTCAGTGTGGTGAAATAGAGCCCCAGAGCCAAGGTCAGGTGAAAAGGGGGTTTTCTGCCCTGCCTGGGGAGCAACATTGTAATTGGTTCATGTGCCACAAAGAGGCAGGAGGGTCCTGCAGGTTTTCCACTGAGCACCCTTGTGTTTAAATGCAGACATCAGAGTGCGGGGGTGCCTCTTTCCTAAACAGCTCTTTTGCATGTGTTGCACCCATCCCACAGGCCTGCCCTACTGGGACAGAGCAGCTGGTGACCATTTCACACCCAGCTGCAGAATTTCCATAGAAGGAGCCTTTTGGAATCCATAGCCAGTCAGTCTTGAGCAACAGCGGGATCTGCTAGAGCCTGTTCTCAGTGCAGGGTCTCTCTGTCCCTGGTCTTACAAGACTGTGCTTAGATAAACACACTTCGGTTGGCAGGGGGCAAGGAGCTTGTTTTATCGCCTGAAGCTGTGGGGATACGGCGGGGTTGCTGCTGGCTTGGGGAAGTGTGGGATGTCCCTGTTGCTTGCTGTGTCAATGGGAGTGGAAGCCCCTTTCCCTAGCTAGTAGCTTGGAGAAGTGCAAGGTCTGGATGCTAGTGCCCAGATCAAAGGCTTTGAAGTCTTTCGGTGGAGCTGTTGAAATCTGCACCAACCCAGCAGGCTCAGAAGCGGGCAGCACGTTCCGTGCAGTGTCTGTGAATTTGACTCCACCTCTCCTACAAGCGCAAAAGCTGCAGGGAAACAGCAGGACCCAATTCCCTTGGAGCTGTCAAGGGCAGCCAGCTGTAACTTAACTCATTCCTGCACCCCAGGCTGCCAAACCAACCTGTCCCCACAGAGGACCAACCCCTGACTCAGGGCCCACCTGCATGCCCCTTGCTCCTGCAGGTTGTCAGGGAGCCAGTGGAGGAGCAGTGGCTGCTAGAGGTGGTGATGGCTCTGCTTGCGGCTGTTTCCCCAGCCCAGAGCCATGTGTCAGTGTCAGTCTGCCAGCACACACCTAACCCTTCAGCTAAAGCTGCTGCTGGCCCCTGCGCAGGTGCAATCTGTGGAGGGAGCAGCTTGTCCACACGCACTGCTCCAGTGTGATGCAAGCAGCCTGGTTCTGCTGCTTGCTCTCTAGGCCCAACGTCCATGTTCAAGTGGAGAGCAGGGGTGATGGCTGAGACCCATGTTCAAGTGGAGAGCAGGGGTGATAGCTGAGATTCTAGTCCTGTGACTCTCATTTTATAATGGGCCCTTTCCTTCCTTTCCCACTCCCAGACTCTACCTAGACCGGAGTCCCCGAACCAGAAGTTCTGACTCAGTGTTTGTCTTTGTACTGTTGTTGCATGTTTATCTCAGGAGCAAAATGCTTTTGTACTTGAAAGGTCCAGGTGTGGCGGAGTCCAGGGGAAGTGTAGGAGGGATTGTTACCAGCGGAAGGGAGGGGCCTCTGAAGCAGAGAGCTTTTACCCTCTCCTGCTCTGTGACCTTTGACTCGTCTGGGAGGTATGCGGCATTACATTGTCTTCAAACATTTCCTGTGTATTTTTAGAATTTTCAGCCCTACTTTACTGGGCCAAGTTGAGCTTATGGGCATGAAAAGTATCAGTACCTGTGCTCCACCCGCTGCAGCGTTACCTCTCCTGCTGTGTCTCAAGTCATGTATATACAAATAAATGCTGTCAGACATTTATCAGTGAGTGCACCTCTGTGCTGGTATCTTCTCCAACTTCTGGTAGCCGGTAGGCTCTAGGAGTGCCCACCGCAGCTAGGGCGGGGTCTTCAACAGAGACAGCTGAATGGGTGAAGTGACACTGGGGCTTGGCCATCTTTCAGCAGCGCTCCCTGCACAGAGGCATGGGCCACCCGGAACAGCAGGATCCTGCTGCCTGTGAGCTGGGTGCTGCCCCAAGGTAGGGCGAGCCCTGGGGAGCGTGAGGCTGGGTGACTTCAGGCTTGTGCCAAACAGACCTGGCCCAGGCCCAGCCCCTGCCTCAGGGCTTAGCGGCTCTGGTGTGGGGTCATGGGGGCTGCTGCAGGAGCGG